TCCTACTACTCCTACTACTCCTACTACTCCTACTCCTACTCCTACTCCTACTCCTACTCCTACTCCTACTGCCACTGCCACTGCCACTGCCACTGCCACTGCCACTGCCACTGCCACTGCCACCACTACTACTACTACTACTACTACTACTACTACTACTGCTACTGCTACTGCTACTGCTACTGCTACTGCTACTGCTACTGCTACTGCTACTACTACTACCACTCCTACTGCTACCGCCACTCTCTGTCTACTGCCTAGCCACTGCCACAGCTGCTGCTGCTGATGCTATTGCGACGACGACTACTGCCACTACTGTTACGACCACCACCACTACCGCCGCCGCCCCGGCCAGCACCATCACCATACTGTCATGCTGCAGGCTACTGCTGCTTGTGCTACAATCACTACCCCGACCACTACAGTACACCTACGACTACGACGAGGACAGGTTTGCATACTACTGCTCCCGACGACTACGATTACCACGACGACGACTACTACTACTCTCACTCCGATGCCTCTGCCGGACCGCCTTTACAACACATACCGCCTTTTGTTGATGACCCAACGGTCGAACCTCAGCCTCACTATGATTAGCAGCCGCAGCCTGGAATGCCCGCCCAAACCATTCCTCCAACTCTTCTTCCGTTGCAGGCAAATAGCTCCCAGAATCCGACGGGGACCTGGGAATAGCGAAGCTGCAAGATTGCTTCGGGCTTAAGTATTTATTAAGGTTGAGGTATGTTTAGGGTTTGGGCTGGACTTGGTCGCCTCGCAGATGAGATACAATGGGGTAGTAAAGAGGGGCAAAAGTTTCCATGGAAGGATGATGTGTCCAATGCCTCAACGTGTAAAACGTGATGCCTAATGCACGGGCATTTATGGGCTGCGTTGCACATGGATCTCAAGGGTCCAGAAGAACCCGTCACAGATCGGAGCTTCTCCCGGCCTCACCAAAGAGCAGGTAGCCCGTCAGGACATTGAAAAGCAGAGCAGATGCGCCCATGCTCGGGGACATGATGACCAATGAATGCCTGCGAAGGAACAAGCCCCACACACACACACACAAGCAGGAAGCATGCTTCAAAACGCTCAGAGGCCCGTGCTGTATAGAATAATTCGTACTCAATAGTCAAGTGGCAGATTGTAAACCTCCTGACACAAGCACCCTGGCTCTTGCTCTTTCATGCAAGTGAAACTTGCACAGACTCTGACGGACTCTGACCATTCCTGACACGCAAGAACTCAGGGCCTGCCATAGGAGCGGTTCAAGACCTGAAAAGCTCAAAGTGAATCGACACAAAACTGAGGCGGCTGAACCTGTGCTGGAAGCCCTGAAGCCTAGAACCCCAAAACCCTGGACCTGATTCTGATTCGCCAAGGGACATACAAGTGCAATGGCGCAATCAGCGCCAAAGGGAGGGCCGCAGAGAAGAGAGTCAAAGGGGACCGAGGCGCTGTAACCTTTTCGAACTTCTGAAGTTCAGAAAGCAGACAGTACCTATAGTCTCCATTGTAGTTCCTTTTCTTGGTTTAACCAATCCTATATTAAGGATTTTATACGGTATCCCCAAAAAGGAACTACAATGGAGACTATAAACAAGGTATTGACTGCCAAAACAGCGACTGCTCGAAATATGGCCCATGTTCATAACACGAAACACGCAAATCAATCGTCAGGTCAGTCCTGTTCTTGATACACGGTGGACCCGTTTATGCTACAGACAGCCATGTTTTTTCATCGGGGGCTTTCGTGTCAGGTGCCCGGTTTTGTCTGTCCAACCTCGGGGCTGTCGGGCTTCTTAAAATCCGCAGCGGGCACTTCATTTGAAGCTTCAAAGTTTGGGAGGTTCTACAGCAATTACAGGGCCTCAATGTATCGCAACGTTCTTCCTTGGGGCTCTATGCCATATTCATAGAAGAAAGACCCTAAGGAGCCTAACCTGATTCTTTAAGTTCTCCCTTTAAGAAGCCGCGCAGGGTCTGGACTGAGAGACTGGGAGGGACCTGCAGCATTTTGCGGCGTGTCATGATGGGCCGGTCTTTCGGTATCTTTCGGTCTTTCGGTGGCCTCAAGGTTGTGTCAATGCCACCTGCTGCCTTCTCTGAAATTGAAGCCATTTGGCGGAGTCCCATATAGGGGCCCTGCTGATTAGAATAGTGTGTTGGGGCATACTATACCAGAACTGCAACAAGGAGCCGTAACAACTACTTTACTATTCTTCACTTTGGAGACAAGCCTGGACCCCGAGGTTTCAATCGAAGCTCTGCCCAAAGAAACTCTCGCCTTGGGCAAGAAGCTGCTAGACCAGTCAGTTCAAAGCGGTAAAGATGTAAGGCATTGCTTCCCCGCGAGGGCCCCGTGCATGCGAAAGAAGCTACCTTCAAGGCGTATGTGGCGTGGCACATGAAACAATTACGATTACCTAGCCCCTGCTTCACACCGCAACACCTGACACATTTAAGTCTGTGTTGCATCCCTCATATACGTAGTGATTATGTCAGACCCCGAATTCAAAAGCCGTTAGAGTGCTGGAGCACCCTTCGGGGATTCTCACTCAAAGCCCGGTTGCCCACGAAATAAACCCGTCAAGAGGCCAGCGCTGCCGTGAAGGTCTTGCTTGCCACGACGCTTGATGAGCCGAGACTCCCACCTCCACGCGGTTTTGGGCTTCGTAGCATTGGGACTGAATTTCGGCCAAGCAGCAACATCGGAACCTGCACCACGATCATCGCAACGATCAAAAAGAACAGGATCAACGAGGACATCATACTGTAATTTCCTCATCTTGATAATCATTGTTCTTCCTCATATCGTAATGTCATTATCTTCATTATCGTCGTCGTCATCCTCCCCACCATCAGTTTCATAACCATCACCATCGTCATGGTGTGCGCCTGCCCCGAGGCCCCCAATGATGGCGTTGCCGGTTACGATAATGGTGCTCAAGTATGCTCAAATCATGCATAGGTATCAGGTGATCATGGCCTCGTCAGGAGCGCCGTCGGACATAATCGACACAAGTCATGGGTACATAGCCGTAGAGCGTAACGACACCACTCTGACAAACAAGTGCAACAAACTGCGATACACGGGGCCGTGCCCCTGTCCCAAGCCTAGACTCGTGGACCCCTGAGGCCAAGCTTGGGGCTTCGCGCCTAGCAGTGCGCTCGCCAAAGCGTCGAGTCTGCCCGCTGTCTCGCGGCAAGCAAAAAGGGCGACGGCGAGCAAACTGCACCTTACTCGGTAGGCAGCCGTGCTGTGGCTCTAAGAGCTCTGCGACACAACTCGATGCCGTGCGAACCGTCCTGCGTGTCGTACACTGGCTGACTATCAAGCCCTGCTTGCAGGTTTAGAGAGGTGAGAGGTTGAGACAGCGTTGCAGGTCTTCTACCATTAAGCCTCGACAACCCTCTGAGAAGCCTCGCTTACACCAAGCTCAAGTGCATGAAGACATTCACCTTCGGCGCTCCCTCACCTGTGAACTGAACCTAAAGCTCAGGAGAAGCACCAGATCACCGCTGTGGCGACGTAGGTGGCATACATTTCCTCAGCACCATGGCCGATGTTCATCGCGCGGCTCTGTTTACGGTCTTATCCCTCGAAGCTTCAGGCCTAGCTGCAAAGCAACATCAGTGGGCTTCTAGTATTCTAGTACATCCTTGATGGCAAGCCTCGCTTGAAGGTGCACTCCTCGCGGCACCACTGTCTGCGCCGCCGTGCAGGCACAAAGCTGCCTGAGAACGGCTTGGCCACAAAAGTTGCAGGCTTCGCCACTCTTCCACAATATCACGATGCTACGTGCCGATGATCACCATCATCTCAACCAGCATTCATTGGAAGCGAAACATTGCGAGTTTCCTAGTCAACACTCATCTCCATCGTCGCAAGCATACAAAAACAGCTTAACTGACACCTAATAGAAGTAAGCCACCTGCTTTTACGGTAGAGTTTACCAGCCTAAGTACGGCCTAACCAAAGATGCAGAGCTCTGGGATGAGGCCTGTGAGTCCCCTTCGGGCTGCTTGCACATGCCACATGTGCGAAAGTTCGGGGTCCATTCAAGAATAACTACCCATAGGTCCTAAAGTAGTTCCCTTTTGGGATATATATATATATAGAATCCTATAAGGTAACCCCAAACAGGAACTACTATGGGGCCCATGGGTAGGATTGTCCGATGGACTTAGAGCTCTACAGCGAAAGCTTGCAGAGGGGGCGGTTTCCGAGGGAGGGGGCCCAAGGCTCAGTGATGGCTGCAGAGCTTCGGACATGCACATTTGGGAGTTGGGATTTAACGAAGTTCACCGATACTTTCCTTGGCTTATCAACAATGCACGGCCATATAGCTAAATAAGCCAATTCATACACGAATATATCTGTAGATGAGCACAACATGACGCACTCGTTCGAGCCTTCAAGCGCTCTGAAGCCCCTTCAAATCACTGCATTGCTCAGCCCTGTGCGCCCATGACAACGGCCAGCGCAGACAAAAAGTCCTTTGGGGTCCTCAGATGTCGATCGTCTACACCACAAGGATCTATTCATTCAATCCAAAATCCCTTATCTAGAAGCGACCTGTGGCCACATTCGATGAGGACATCGCCTACATTCCCCCTCAAATACCACAACCGTTCACCACAATTTCTGTGTACTTCGTATTCCATAGTGTGTTCGCCAAACGCTGTCGTGCCACAAATCCTTCTGAACAGACACTCCATCTGGGTACTGCAAACGACGCGTGGGAATGTGTATGAGACTAGATATACATACATATATATATATATACACATGTATATAGATAGACACTGCATATGTATCTTCGTCTGTTTGGTTTTCGGCTATGTACATATGATATATGTACCACTATCTTTTCATTTTCTCTAGTGATATGCGTGCACATAGTCTCACATCATGCAGGACTAATGGTGAAGACATTGCAGTCCGTCCGCTTGCCTACACACATGCATCAACACCTGGGTGCACATACACGCATGTACCCGTGCCTGTGGCTGTACTTGCACATGTGGTCTCTCTTCCTACCTTCCTTCCGTCCTTCCTTCCGACCGGTTTGGAGGAGGACTAAACCCTTACTCTTGCGCTCTCGTGCTGCGAGCATGTCCCATGATCCACATCTGCATGACACTTCTCTACACGGGCTGCCTCCTGTTCGACCCTGCCTGCATTTCCCCAAAAACCTGGAGTAACGAAGGAACTGGCTGTCGCTTTTGCCTCCCGTGCTTGCTCTTTTCTCTCGCGAGGGCTATGATGTAGGGGATAACCCCGTGCTTGCTCTCTCCCTCTCTCTGCCGCCCTCTCTCTCGCTGTTTCTTTCTTTCTGCTGGGCTTAGGGGTCGACGTGCGACCCTCAGGCCATAGGCCCGCCCAACCACCCGTCGTGCAAATGAATGGTCGGCATTGGGCATTGGGGTCCCTTCTGACAGCTGCACAAGAGTACTGAGTCTCTCTTTCTGTTTCTTTCTCTAGGACTTTCTTCTTGCTGTTGCTCCCTTCCCACACTGTCTGCATAAAGCTTCTGAATTCATGCCTTTCCTCAAGTCCTTCAATGACCTGCAAGCCGTGTGGCAAGTCGTCGCCGTGGACCTTGTTGGCCGCGAGGAGGCTAAAAAGCATTCCCACCTGCGCTCTGCGCACGACGACTAGGAAGGGGCGCGCAGGCAGGGACACCTCTGGGCATCGGGTGTTGAAATGTCTGAGACAAGGTATTCCTGTTCAGAGATGTTTTGGGGATGCAAAGCACTGCAGACAGAGCGGGATGTAAGCATAAATGAGTAAAGATCATCTATGCATGTACATACTGTATATGTGTTTACATAAACAGACATGAGGATGTCTGGATCTACATTCATACCTATATCTGTGTCTGTCTGCCTATCTGTCGATCAGCGATCTATCAATCTATCTGCTTAACTATCTATCTATCTATGTCTATCGACCGATCTTTCTATCGATCTGTTTACCTATCTGCTTGCCATTGCTTGCCTATGTATCCATCTGCCCGTCCATCCATCAACCGATCCGCTCACCCACCCATCCATCCATCCCTCCATCCAGCCATCCATTCGTCCATATGCGTATGTAGACGTATGCATATGCACATATGTCTGCACGTATCACAATATATGTTTGTATGCATGCCTGTATGCATGTATGTGTGCATGCATTTTTGCATGCGTGGCGTGTATGTACATGTGCATTCGTACATGTGCTTTATCCATGTGCACGTGCATCGATGACTCTTTCCAAGCACTGTGTCTGTGTGTCTGATTTTTCTTTTGTTGGTGCGGTCATGCTTCTACGCAAGAGACTTCGAATCTTTGCAGACTATACATAGGCGTTTCTATGTATGCGTGCGTACAATGACAAACACATAGGAATGAGCATACATGCGTTCTTAAAGGGGTACGTAAATTTGCATCTACGCGTGTGACATGGATGCGTA